GCAGTTTTCGCCAAAAAATTCTTTAAAATATTCTCCAGAGCATGACGCCCTTCGTGTTTTCCGTTTAGAGACAGTTTTGCTGCAAAAAGCTAAATTTCTTTATTTCGCTTATCGCTTTTGTAGGCTGACGCTTCTGTCTTTGTAATTTTAGAAAATCCGGAAGTGATATTTCGTGAGGCGCATTTTGTTTTGAGAGTATAGATCTAGACCTTCTAATTCTCTCAAGATTTATTGTCCCATTCCAGCTGAGTGTAAATATAGTAAACCAATGACTTTTAGTTGATATTAAAGCACCGATCATTCCTTTCATCGAAAGGGGGCCCAGCTTGTAATATATATACACACCTATTATGTTAAGCGCAATTTACTGATAGGCGCAATCTTGCGCTGGGCTTTTTAACGATCCTATAATTGCACAGAAATCTTAAGATTGCGTTACTATTTTATATTTTTGAAATAATTTTTCATACATAAATTTACTTCCATCTGTATTCTTTTACTCACATGAAAGAACATTCACATATATTTTCAAAAGTGTAAAAATATTTAAATTAAAATATGAAATCAAAATTAACGTATAAAATTGAGGAGCCCACAAAATGTTAAAATGCCAGGTAACAAATTAAAAGTTCATAAAGTATATTTAATTTATTTCATATTTTTTAAATAATTCTTTTCTTATTATTCACTTTCGTCTTTATTCATTTACTCACACCAAGGAACATTCTCGGATATTTTCAAAAGTGAAAAGTATGAAAATCAAAATTTAAATAAAAATTAAAATTGAGATATGAAACTGAAGAGTCACAAGAATGAAAAAATCAAACGATCATTAAAACGCGCGGCGCTGTGCGTGTGTGTGTGTGTGTGGGGGGGGGTCAAATCGGTATTCTGAGCCTCTGAGTACAATCACATGGTGATCCGATGCTTTCCCTAGTGATCGATTTATTTCTACTTTGGAGAGTTGATGTTTTGTGTTCTTGGCCCATGCTGTGTCATACAGAATTTGATCACAGTGTCCGTGATTGAATGATGAAATATGTGAGGCAGCGTGGTGGAATCAGGCTCTCGTCAATTTTTGGGCATATTGAGTTATTGGTATCATCTTCAAGATTGTTCATTTGTCTTGCTTTCAATCTAAAAAATTACGCTTCCATCTTCAATAGAAGTGAAGATATTTTGGATTGAAAGAGGCGGGGGTTACATAATTTAAGAAGTAAAATTAGAGAGAAAATGGCCGAAACTTGGTGAACTCCATGGAAACTGTAAATTTATATTTTTGTACCTTAAATCAAAGTTTTCTTTGAAATACTAAACGGAATGTGTTTGTAAATGGACATAAAAGGTGTTGAG